GCTTTAATATAATATATATATAGTTGTGTGGACACGTTAGAGAAAAGAATATTAGATATGATTAATGAGCAATATTTAAATATGTAGTTCAAGCTAGGGATCTTCCCGAAACTTTAAATTATTTTTTTATAACAAAAAAAGGATAAACGTTTATTATCTCATCCTCTTATTTTCTTAGTTTCTCCCATCCAAATCCCTTCTCGCCTCTTATTTTCTTCATCACCATTTCTGTTGTTTTGAAAAAAAAAAAAAAAACACACACACACACACACAAATACACAAGCCGCCATAACCACCACCACCGACGTCGAATCTTTAACCACCAAACTAATCCATTTCCAGAAAGTCGAAGCGTCACATTCTTCTAACTTAGAGCTCGATCTCAAGACGACATCCGTTTAGACTAACGACATTCAATTTGAAATTCGTTAGAAATAAAAGTTGCCACGATATAAAATAAGCGCTATAATGATTGGATTTGTTAAAAAGTGGAGTTTAGGCATACCAATTCTTGTTTAGTTTAGAGTGTAGGATTAGGATATGTAAGTATGTAGGGTTAAAATGGTCTTTTCAGCCACACTTGAAAAAGTATAATTTTGGTCGAAGATCCCAACTCTTAGAACGACATTCAATTTTATACCCTAATATTCAATTTTGTTTAGAACGTTTTTATAATAAATTCAACACTACATCTTTAAATCGAAATATTCTAATTATGCTTTTTATAATTATTAGGTTAATAATATATACGTACACTTATTTTTAAAGTTTTGAATTTTGAAGTTCAGTATATATTATGTGGACCCAAATGTAAGCTAGAAATCCCTTAGTCCCCACATTGGCCAAAGTAAGGGCAAAGGATTGGTTTATAAGTTTCAAACTGCTAGTTTACTAATAATGTGGGTCTATAATTTTGGATATAGCGAGAACGAATATCCAAACAGTTATTGAAAAGATCTAGCAGTTGGGCCGTTACATATTAAATATTATAAATTGGATATTTTATTCGTGGATTGGTTATATTTAAGAGATTATTATCTCAGTTGATTAATATTCGTAACCAATATATTCTATTCAGGTGATAAGAATATCGTTTAAAATAACGTTGGATCTAAAACAATTCATGCAAGCCACATGGATAAAACTAGCTCACAATGAAAATGAAATATTAACTAATAAAACAAAAATATTATATCAAAGTTTTAATAACTATCACTTAATAGTTATTTATGTATTTATACATTTGTTTCGTCATCACATGATATTCACAACGTGTATATATATATATATATATGTGTGTGTGTGTGTGTGTGTGTGTGTGTGTAAAATTATACAGGCGTTTTGACTGAACCGTTGAATCAAATTATAATCAATCAAAATTTGACCCGTTAAATATGATTACAGGGTGGATAGTGTTCTAATAAATCTATAGCTTTTTAACTAAGTAATTTACGAAGATTATTTCAAACCTTTTTATATAGATAAAACTAAATTAGTTTCTCGTACTGTGATGTGAATTATTTATGTGTCAGAGAAAACAAATTCTATTTGATTGTCGACTGTTTGATGTCAAATAACATCCCTTAAAACTCTAAACGAAATGAACCAAAAAAAAGATGATAATTTAAAAATTTATTGATGAATTTGTTTCACTACATCAATAAGTTTTCTATTACCCTAAACCCTGCTAATTATTTATATAAGGATATACCACGTATATCTATATAAGGCTAATTATAGATATAAGGTTAATGGTATCAGAGCGTTTATCTTGCGCATCATTGCTGCGCACCACCCGTTGGGGGAGTACCCTAACATGCATGTCGCTCGGGCGAGGGCGAATGCTTGGCGTGCGGAGCGTCAGGAGTGTTGTGGTATATGATGGCGGGTGATCCTAGGGCGGTCCATCTCTTCCCACCCCAGGGGAGAATGTTACGCGGTGGCCTCACACCCCCCGTAACCGTGTTGAGTCTCAGTAAAAAGACGCCTTGCTGCATTGGTGCCTGCTTAGGTAGGGGCTCGGCCTAGTGTTAAAGGGGATGTTGTATGTCTTAGCGACTTTGGCCCTGGGGAACAGCTAGGTTTTGAACCCGTAGAGTTATGGAGCTCATGCGGGGGAATGTCATTGAGTTATGGGACTCGGTTAAGATGTGGGGCTGGAGTGCGGCTGATGGTTTAACTGGTTGGGAGCTAGCGCCATTTCTCTGATGAGCTCGAGGCAGAGCAATACAAGTAAGGTGCATGATGAGAAGGCTGAGTCTTGAGACAAAGGGAGAAAGAACCTCATAACTGTCGCACGGGCAAAAGAGAGAAACTCTAAACTTATATATATATATATATATATATATATATATAGAAAATTCTATGGTGCAGTTATTATTTTTTGACTGAACCATCCAGTTAAATCCCTCGAATAAAAATCTGACCTGTAATACATCATTATAGGCCGAGAAGTACTATAATAAATCCATATTTCTACTTTACCTGTTAATCTAAGTTAAAATCAAAATAAAGTAGCTTGAAATTTGTAGTAAAAAATAATCGTCTTTATCTGAAGAGGCCAAAATCCACAAAACCATGACCATTAATGAACTCCGTAAATGAGCAAACAAATCTTACTATATTAGAAACAAAAACCACACTTAAGAGAAAGCACCACCATTTGCTATGTGGCATTTCCACATCATATTTTTAAAATAAATTTTTATTTCCATATCTCCTAAACTTAAAAGGCAAATGCAGTCCAAATTTATTTCCACCTCCTATTTTCGTTAAAACAAACAAACAAAAAAAAACCACGGGTTCATAAAAAACCCAAGTTTTCATCCTCATTGCCACGACAATCGACTCCTTGATCAATCCATTCTCCAAAATTAAAAAAATAAATAAATTACTTATCAATCATCAATTGAGAATATGTGGTGAAATATACTCTTTTCCTATTAGCATGTTCAATCTTTTCATTAGTGATGATCAACTACATCCTAATCGGATAAAATTTTAACTTCAAAAAATATTCTCTTTTACCTCTTTATATAAACACAAAAGAAAAAAAAAATTGTCATTGATCTTGCTTCAGCCGTTGTGGTGGTGCCATTACAGGTATTAAAATTTAAATGATTTTATTTCCACAGATAATTGGTTTGGTTTTTATTACTTTTAATTTTTCCCATTTAAGAATAGTGTTATTACTATTATTTTTATGCGTCCATCCGTTACAGCTACTGGAGCCGTTGTCAGGTAGTATGATGTGATTTTTTATTTGGTTAGTTAGTCTAGAATTTTTGTATGATTTTAGTTATGTTTGGATTGAATTGATTGATTGGATTTTTGCTACAAAGTGTTTATGTTTCATTCAATTAGAGTGGTTTTCTTTTTTAATTATGGAGTCTCAGGTTTTTTTTTTTCTTATATGGCCAGTTATGAAGTGTGTTTTTCTTTGTTTAATTGCTTTTGATTTTGTTTCATACTCCCAATTGTCCAATTATTATTATTATTATTATTATTATTATTATTATTATTATTTTATTTTTATTTGCAAATGAAGCAAGTTTTTTTTTGTATTCGGGGTTTCAAGAATATACTTTTTTGGATTTGGTTTTTGGACTTTTTTTAGTTCCTCATCATATAAATAGTTCAGGTCGCTTCTTTTAACTAATTCATGGGGAAGTCTTTTATGAATTTGAGGTGGAGAGGGAACGAATGATGTTTCTACATTTATTTGTGTTTTTATACATCATTTTTTAAAAAATAAAAATTCTTAAATTTTAATGGGCTATCTTTTACTTCTTTTTTTTTTTATTTGCCATGGTGAGGTGAGTTCTTTTTTGCTATATCTTGAAACCTATGAAAATTTGCATTACTTTCATTCTCATATTTGTGATCAACCAGTTTCAACAATTAACCAGTATCAAAATCATATTTTTGATATTTTACTACCTATAAACTTTTGGAAGAAATAATTCCAACAATTAAGCGTATACCCTTTGGAGGAAGCTAACTACAAAGCTATTATAAATCTCCAAAACTTATTGATTTGGCATAACCAATAGAGAACATCAATAAATTATCTTACTAATATTTAAACTTATTAGGATGCTTTTATATTTTTTCTAGCATTTACTTCAAGACATATATTTGATCAAGTTTATTTATATTTAAGAAGTAATACTTATAAAACATTTCTAAAATCTTCAAACATTTCTAAAACGTACCGGGCCAAATACAATTTATTTTTATGCCAAATACAAACATCACACTTATAAAACATTTCTAAAATTCTTCAAATATTTCTAAAATATATCGGGCCAAATACAAAATATTTTTTTTCCAAATACAAACATTTCTAAGATCTACAGATATATTGGGCCAGGGTCGCGCATTGCGCGATCAGACATCACTAGTCCTAATATACAAGCTAAAGCTGAAATTACATAATCCTGATCTCATTCTTGAGGATATAATTAAGAGTTTTTGTTGCGAGTAATTATTTTTGAAAGAATAAACCATCCAACAAAAGAAGAAAAGAAGAGGAATAATTTTGGAGTTTTACATCATTATTCTAAATAAAATGGTTACCGGTTTAGCATTTACGGTACATTATAGGATAATTATTTAATTTTAAAAAATTTGTACTGCATGAAAAAAAATTTACGGCTTTAGAATGGGTAGTAAGAGTGAAAAGAATAAATGAGGGTAAAGTAAATTTTCTTAATTTTTTAAAAACTTTTGTAATTATTATTATTTAAATAATTTAAATATTTTCATTTTTCATTGAAATGGGAAAAATTATTGTACCAAAAATAACGCTCATCATCGAGGCTTAAATCTTGTCAGAATAGTAATTTTAGACCAAAATAGTTGCAATATCAAATGTAATGGATCATCTCATATAAGTGTTAATTTTATGGACCAAAATTTAATTTTAGCTCAATGTGAAGGACCATTTATACAATGTACTTTTTATTTTTTCTCCAGTCTTCTACAGCTTTCCCCAGTTTAAGAAAATTATAGAAACGACGAAAAGGTTAATCAATCAACGTACCGCTCTTTTTGGGGTTTAGATTTCAGATTTCAGGACTGTCAGTCTCGAGAAATGTCGACTTCCAAGCTTAGTAGGGTGGCGCTCTCCGCTGTCAGGCGGAGAACTTTATATCACCGCCTTCCTCTCTTTTCTCCAGCGTGTAAGCGACTACTCACTCCTCCGCCTTCGTGTTCGAGTCCGACCGATTTTGCTGCCAATGGATTTCCGGTTAGATTATTATGCTTCAACGACGCCATATCATCCAGAGCTTTCCTTCGGTCTTATTCTACTGCCGCCAACTCCAGCCAGGCACTTCACTGTTTTCCACTTGCTTAACCTGTTTGTTTATATTATATGCTTGTAATTTCGCAAATTATAATTTTCCAGGAAGTTTAGAGAGCTAAACCAATGAATTACTTATGTACTGTGTGTGTGTGTGTGTTTTACTTTTTATTTTTTAAAAAACATTACATGTTGTCATGTACTGTGAAGCTATTTCAATGGCCAAGATGGAGGGAAAATATATAATTTCAAACAAGAAAAGAAAGCTAAACCTCACTTAAATGTTTAACCATGTTAGCATCCTTGGTATCCCATCCAAAATTAACCAGCCATTGCTGAATCGTTACTGTTGATTTTCCATGTTCCCTCAGCTGTTAAATCATGTTTTGATGACAGATCAGTAATTCAGAGTTCACCGAAATGGCGTGGGAGGGATTAGTTGGTGCTGCTGAGGCTGCACGAGCCAACAAACAGCAGGTTGTGGAGACCGAGCACTTACTCAAAGCACTACTAGAGCAGAAGGACGGTTTAGCCCGACGAATACTTACAAAAGCAGGGCTTGACAACACATCCATTCTCCAAGCTACAGAAGACTTTATATCGCAACAGCCCAAGGTAAGTGTTATGTCCAATATCAAAGAAGTAAAAGAAAAATCCCAAAAGGAAAAACATGGGTCATAGTTAGTTTTATATTATTTCAGGTGACTGGTGATACTAGCGGTCCTATGTTAGGGTCAAACCTCAATTATCTTCTGGATGCTGCGAGAAGGCATCAGAAACAAATGGGGGACTCATTTGTGTCTGTAGAGCATCTGCTGTTAGCTCTTGCTTCTGATAAGAGGTTTGGCGAGCAGTTGTTTAAGAAATTGCAGCTTAACGAAAAGGAATTGCGGGATGCTGTTGCTGCTGTTCGTGGAAGTCAAAGAGTTACAGACCAGAGTATGTGGAAAAAAATAATGATTATTAAATCTACATTCTGTTTGAAAAGCAACATGTTGTGCTATATATCTGAATATCCCTTTACAAAAGCATGTAGCAAAAGCTTTTGAAGACCACCTGTGGTTAAATGTGGGGTTAATTACCTGTACTCGTGTCCATCCAGGCTGATGTATTCATGCAAATTTTCTGCAGATCCGGAAGGTAAATATGAGGCGCTGGAAAAATATGGCAATGATTTAACCGAACTTGCTAGACGTGGCAAACTTGATCCAGTAATAGGTCGTGATGACGAAATTCGGAGATGCATACAGATATTGTGCCGTCGAACGAAAAATAACCCTGTGATTATTGGCGAGCCTGGAGTTGGAAAAACCGCAATTGCTGAAGGGTATGTCTACCCTGTAAATTTAATGTTCTCTATTTGGGGAGTGTAAGGAAATTTTGATGTTCTGCAATCTCGTAGAAATGAATCCTCTGAAAATTATCATTCTTCGTTCCTGCAGATTAGCTCAACGTATAGTTCGGGGTGATGTTCCTGAACCATTGTTGAATCGTAAGGTTAGAGTTTGCTCTGTTTCCATTGGCATTGTCCAGATATCAACTTTATTATGTAGGCTAATATTATATTCTGAGAAGTATGTGTGTTATTGTCTCGTATTGAATAAAGTTAGATTAACTAATTAAAACGAAATTACTGGGATGAGAATGTCAGTGTTGGTTTTATCCTAGAAGATTATTGTTAATACTTATTTATTTTTTCTGTTTGAGTATTGACAAAATTTGCCTGCAAAATCCTGATGCATTTGACTTTCTCGTGTCGGATTTTTATTTTGCTGTTTTCCCCCACTCCAGTTGATCTCTTTGGATATGGGTTCATTGCTTGCTGGTGCTAAGTTCCGTGGAGATTTTGAGGAAAGGCTTAAAGCTGTTCTGAAGGAAGTCACTGCCTCTAACGGGCAGATCATACTATTTGTCGATGAGATTCATACTGTGGTTGGTGCTGGTGAGTTTGTGTCGTAGATATGATGATGAGAATTCTCCTGCCTGTTTTAAAAAACTCCACCCTGTTGATCTTCTAAAATGATATTGTATGAAGTACGGTCTGTGGCATTATTAATAAGCTCTTTAGTTGCAGTCTCAATACTTTTATGATTAACAAAATGTTCTGGATCTTTTTTGGTTTACTTTCTTCTTGCTAAGTTTGATTATAAGTTGGGACTTTTATATTCCTTGTACCTTGAGTCCAGGAGCTGCTGGTGGAGCACTGGATGCTGGAAACTTGTTGAAACCAATGCTTGGGCGTGGTGAACTCAGATGCATTGGAGCAACAACATTGAATGAATACAGAAAATACATTGAGAAGGATGCTGCCCTGGAACGGAGATTTCAGCAAGTATTTTGTGGTCAGCCTTCTGTTGAAGACACCATATCTATCCTTCGTGGTTTGCGCGAGCGTTATGAATTGCATCACGGAGTCAAAATTTCAGATAGTGCCCTTGTTGCAGCAGCGGTGCTTTCACATCGTTACATAACAGAGCGCTTCCTGCCAGACAAAGGTATGCTGCTGTTACTTTGATTTTTACAGTTGGCGCTGAACTATTAGGGCTGTAATGGCACTGTTATCTGATTGTTAGTTTGTGTACAAGGGATTTTACCTTCTGATTTATGAACTATCCTGTCTATTTGTTTTTAGCCATTGACCTAGTAGATGAAGCTGCTGCGAAATTGAAAATGGAGATAACTTCGAAGCCTACAGAGCTAGATGAGGTAGATAGGGCAGTTATGAAGTTAGAGATGGAGAAACTGTCTCTCAAAAATGACAATGACAAAGCAACTAAAGAACGGCTCTACAAGCTCGAGAATGATTTGACGTCTCTTAAACAGAAACAAAGAGAGTTAAGTGAACAGTGGGAGCGTGAAAAAGTTCTCATGAATCGAATACGCTCAATCAAAGAGGAGGTAATTTCCTTAAATCGATACATTATCTAAGAATAGCACTTTATTCACTCAATGATTTTTGTGGGAGCGCTTTACCTGTAGATTGACAGAGTTAACCTAGAGATGGAAGCTGCTGAGCGCGATTATGATCTGAACCGTGCTGCCGAACTCAAATACGGCACGCTCATGTCCCTTCAGCGGCAACTCGAAGAAGCTGAGAAAAACCTTTCAGAGTATCGCACATCTGAACAGAGTTTACTCCGGGAAGAAGTAACAGATCTAGATATTGCTGAGATCGTTAGCAAATGGACTGGTATACCAGTATCAAACCTTCAGCAATCTGAAAGGGATAAGCTTGTCTCTTTAGAAGAAGAACTACATAAGCGGGTCGTTGGTCAGGATATGGCAGTTAAAGCAGTTGCTGATGCTATCAGGCGTTCAAGGGCGGGCCTCTCAGACCCAAATCGGCCTATTGCAAGTTTCATGTTTATGGGACCAACAGGTGTTGGTAAAACCGAGCTTGCTAAGGCCCTTGCTGGATACTTATTTAACACGGAAAATGCTCTTGTCCGCATTGATATGAGTGAGTACATGGAAAAGCATGCAGTCTCGCGTTTGGTTGGGGCTCCGCCCGGTTATGTTGGATATGAAGAAGGTGGACAGCTCACGGAAGTTGTTCGGCGCCGGCCATATTCAGTGGTGCTGTTTGATGAGATTGAGAAGGCGCACCACGATGTTTTTAACATCCTGTTACAGTTGTTGGATGATGGCAGAATCACTGATTCCCAAGGACGGACAGTTAGTTTTAGAAACACGGTCGTGATAATGACATCAAATATTGGCTCTCACCTCATACTGGAAACTCTTATAAATACGGTGGATACCAAGGAGGCTGTATATGAGATTATGAAAAAACAGGTGGTGGAGTTGGCTCGACAGAATTTCCGGCCAGAATTCATGAACCGGATTGATGAGTATATCGTGTTCCAACCTTTGGATTTCAAACAAATCTCCAGTATCGTCAAGCTACAGGTAATGATTTGTTTTTAATTTCTCATGAAGAATTATGGTTATTTTGCTTATTTCGTTCGTGTGGTTCTATCCCATCTGTTTTGGGGATTTTGGCTGCTGAATTCCTAAAAGCAACTGTATACTCTCTTCACACCTGTTGTGGAAGAGTTTTTCTTTTTTTTGGAGTGGTAACTTGGAGGTTTGAGTGTGATGGATTTGTATTGAGTTGTTGCAGATGAGGCGTGTTAAAGAGAGACTGGAACAGAAGAAAATTGAACTTCACTGCACAGAAGATGCAGTTGATGTTCTGGCAACATTGGGTTTTGATCCTAATTTTGGAGCTCGACCCGTGAAACGCACCATCCAACAGTTGGTGGAAAATGAGATAGCTTTGGAGGTGTTAAGGGGGAAGCTGAAAGAGGATGACACCATCATTGTGGATGCTGATGTATCTCCAAGTGCTAAAGAACGTCCACCCCACAGGAGATTGGTGATCAGAAGAATGGAAAAAGCTCAAGATGAGGATGCCATGGCTGTGAATGATTGATGGTTGTCATTGAAAATCATGGATGGGCACGGGGTAGGTAGTTGGGGGGAGTTGGGGTGGTGTAAATTTTGGGTTTTCAAATTTGAATGCATGCATGCTTGGTGTTGAATCTCAATCGGTACATCTCTCTGTTTCTTGCATCGTGTTAATTCTTTCCTTCTCTCTGCTTCTCTAGTGTTGATAGGTGCTGGCCCAGCCGGAGCAAAGCGGCCGATCCGGTTTGGGCTGGGAATAGAAAGCCCACGTTCCAAGTGTATGATACTCATGAGATTAAACTTGGAGCGCAGGCAGTGTAGGCATTAATTGCCAAAAACAAAAAGGAGTATTTATTCCGTCTAAAAAAAATAATTTACATTAAAATTTCTGGTTTATACTCTATTATCTTTATTAACATTACAAATTATAAATAAATCTATTTCAAAAAAATAATTTATATTAAATTTTGATATTTGTGATAAAGTCTCAATTGTGAATTATGTAGAACAAGGAGTGTTGTCCCCGGTAGTTGGTGCCTGGTGGTGGTACTTAGTAATGGTCATGGTCGGTGGCATGGTTTTTTTTTTTCCCGTCAAATCACAAAAATTGAGGAGAGAGAAGTAGCATTTGCAGTTTTAATGCAGCGAACTATCTCAAAGGGACCAAGGGACCCTGGTAGGAGTAGCAGCAGCAAGCAACACTTGTTGGTTATAAGATCTACACACACACACACTCTCTCTCTCTCTCTCTCTCGGACTCAAAAAAAAAAAAAAAAAAACTCTCTCTCTCAGAGAAGAGAGTCAGATCCAACCAAATCTCGAGCTGGGTCGATCGGATGTCCCCAGAAGGGCGAGGGGAGAAAGAACCTGTGTCTCCTGTTTTCTGATCGTAACCAGCTCCGGTAACAGTATTTTCTTTTATTCAAATTTGTTTCGAGTGAAATGGTAAAATTCACCACTTCCGTTTATTGGTAGTACTACAGCTTCCTCTCCATCTTTCTTTCTTCCCTAAAATTAACTTCCTCCACCACCCCCCAATTCAAACCCTTACAGTGTGAATGAACGAATGGGCAAGTTCCACCTCCAAAAGGGATCGGTGGGATCCGTGGTCCTCGACCAACCTCTCACCGGAGTGGGACAACACTTTAATAAAAAGACCTCCTCCTGGTCGGCTTCTTCATTCCGCCGCATTATTCTAGACACCGTCCGTTGTGGTGTCCGACACCACCGCCACCACAAGCACCATACCCCTACTCCCCACTCTCCTCCCCTACTTCTCGATTCAGATTTACCCAGCAACTCTCAATTTACGCCGCCCAACCATCTCCCCACTACCCTGAGATCGGAACTGAAGAAAAGCACCAGCATCAGTAATGGTGGCTGCCTAAGATCCGATAACAACAAGCTGTGTGACCTGCTGAGGGTCGCGTCGGAATTGTCATCCTCCCAAGACGAGATGATTGATTTGCAGAAGAAGAGGAAAATGGAGGCGTTGGAAGAGTTGAAGAGAGTAGTCCTTCAACTTCAGGACGAGGAAAATCAAAGTGGGGTTTTGGATGGGGCTAGAGAAATTAGAAGGCTGACTAAGGATGATGCTGAAGCCAGAGCAAATCTGGGGTTGCTGGGTGCCATCCCTCCATTGGTGGCTCTTCTTGACGCCCCACCGCCTTACAGGGATCTACCCTTTCAAGTTGCTGCTCTCTATGCCTTGCTTAACCTCGGCATTGGAAACGACGCGTGAGTCTCACTTTACCTAATTGCTAAATGCTACTGTGAGATTTTCTTTTTTCCCCCTATTTTTTGCTCAACTCGCTCAAACATGCTCCCCTCCAATCTGAATTCAGTGATTGTTTAATCTTGAACAAAACAGCTGTTCCACTAATCCTGCAAATGTATATGACAAATGAAAGCCCCCTCCATCCCCATTTTTGAATCTGGTGCATTTTCGCAGTTAATTTGTGATAATAATAGTTAAGGGTGACAACTTCCGTGTTGGTCAATAGTGTTCTTACGCTTCTTTAAGGGATTGAATGTTCGTGTCGTATTTATGCCAGCCATTGAAATAAATGTAATTCTCCATGTTAGGTTTAGGTCGTGTCTTGTGTGGTGCCTTACTGCCTTAGGTGGTATATAGAGGACCCTTGTTGTAATTCTTGGTCTGAATTCAAGCTTTAAAATTTGTTCAGGAACAAGTCAGCCATTGTGAAAGCTGGGGCCGTCCACAAAATGCTTAAACTCATTTCATCAGCGGATGGACACCCTGATACTGACCCTGATGTCGCAGAAGCAATAGTTGCAAATTTGCTAGCCCTGACTGCACTTGATGAAAACAAACCAGTTGTTGGTTCTTCTGGTGCCATCCCATTCTTGATATCAACCCTCAAAGATCCTCATCATAGATATAGTTACCAAGCGAAGCACGATGCTCTGCGAGCCCTTTATAATTTGTCAATTTCTCCTCTCAACCTCTCCCCATTACTTGAAGCTGGATTAGTCCCATTCCTGTTCTGCAAGCTGGGAGATATGAATGTCAGTGAGAGGGTACTGTCCATTCTAGGCAATATTGTGTCGATGCCAGAAGGTCGACGGGCCATAAGCTATACCGTCGATGCATTTCCAGCGTTGGTTGACGTACTGAATTGGACCGATTCACCAGGTTGCCAAGAGAAAGGGTCGTACATTTTGATGGTGATGGCTCACAAGGCATATGGGGATAGACAAGCTATGGTTGAGGCTGGAATAACTTCATCCCTTCTAGAATTAACACTTCTAGGCACTACGCTTGCACAAAAGAGAGCATCCCGTATATTGGAGTGCTTGACCTTGGACAAAGGAAAGCAGGTATCTGGGAACAGCTATGGCGGCGGAGGTTTGAGCCCAACATTGTCAGCCCCTCTCTGTGACCAGAGCCTTCAGTTGGATAATGAGGAATTAGAGGACGGTGATGACATGGTGAGTGAAGAAAGAAAAGCAGTCAAGTTGCTAGTCCAGCAAAGTTTACAGAACAATATGAATAGAATAGTAAGAAGGGCTAATTTGCCTCATGATTTTGTTCCCTCGGATAATCTAAAGTCGTCCATGGCATTAGGTTCTACATCCAAGAGCTTACCATTTTAGGAAGGTCTATTTGATAAAATTTAATTTGGGTAAGAAGTCTGAAATCTGAGGACTGAATCATAAGTATTGAACTGATTTAGTTTGTCTTGTTTAATAAAAATCAAATCTGAAGAATCAAATGAAATGTCTGAAATCTGAAGTCTAAATATTAAATTTAAAGTATCTCAACCTATAATTTTATCTAAAAAAATAATTGATGTATATAAACGTATGATAATAAAAAATAATATTATCATAAAATTATGTGATAAAAATATTTAAATGTTATTATGTAATTATTTTTTCAAGTAATAATAATGTCATATCCTTATCATTATGAAAACATATCATAGTTTATGGTTGATGGTAAATATATATTGATCACGTAATTTATTCGGATTTTATTTTCATATTCAAATAAATATTTATTAAATAAAAAATAATTTATGTAAATTTTAATTATAACTAAACATCAAGATTAATAAAAATATTTCAAGATAAAATAACAAAAAGTATAAACATAAAATTAAAAAAATAGGGAAAAATTTGTCTCAAGAATTCAGTATAGACATAAGTGATAGGCCTATCACTTATTTTTAGACTCACATTTATATTAGCATTTCAGACTCACTTAATTTATTAAGACATCTTACTTTGAATTATTAAACACACTTAAAATTTAAATCCTTAATAAATTAAGTTCTTAAGAAATTAATTTTTTTACAATATTGTGTTATCAAACAATACTAATCAATTAAATACTTAATAAATAAATTTAAGTATTGAATTAGTTTATCAAACAGGTCTTAAGTCCCTAATGAGCCAAAAATGTAAGAATTATTTTTACATATCTGAAAAGAACTCACTGCCCAGATGTGAGAGACTTTGTCTATTTTCAACTTGCCTGCTGTGTTTCGCCCATCACTTTTCAGTGCTACTGCCATTGTATTAGAGGCAGGCAGACATATCTTACTATATTAGAAACAAAAACCACACTTAAGAAAAAGTACCATCATTTGTCATGTGTCATTTCTACATCATATTTTTAAAATAAATTTTTATTTACACATTTCCTAGACTTAAAAGAAAAATGCAGTCCAAATCTACCTCCACCTCCTATTTTTGCAAAAAAAAAAAAAACAACGGGTTCATAAAAAACTCAAATCCTCATCCTCATCTCCATAACAATCGACTTTCTAATCAATCCCTTCTCCACAATTAAAAAAAAAGAGAAATATTCTCTTTACCTCTCTACATAAACACAAAGGAGAAAAAAAAATTTCATTGATCTTGCTTCGGCGTTGTGGTGGTGCCATTACAGGTAATAAAATTTAAATGATTTTATTTTCACAAATCATTTATTTGACTTTTATTATTTTTTATTTTTCCCATTCAATAATAGTGTTATTACTATTTTTTTTATGCGTCCATCTGTTACAGCTACCGTAACCATTGTCAGGTAATATGATGTGATTTATTATATGGTTAGTTAGCCTATAATTTTTATGATTTTAGTTCTGTTTGGATTGAATTGATTAATTGGGCTTTTGTTACATAGTGTGGTTTTTTAAATTTCTTTTTTTTTTTTTATGTTTCATTCAATTAGAGTCGTTTTTTTTTAATTATGGAGTCTCTATTTTTTTTTCCGTATATGGTCAGTTATGAAGTGTGTTTTTTCTTTATTTAATTGCTTTTGATTTTGTTTCATACTCCCAGTTGACTAATTATTATTATTATTATTTTATTTTATTTGCAAATGAAGCGCGTTTTTTTTGTGTTCGGGCTTTGAAGAATATACTTTTTTGGATTTGGTTTTTGGACTTTTTTTAGTTCCTCATCATATAAATAGTTCAGGTCGCTTCTTCTAACTAATTTATGGGGAAGCCTTTTATGAATTTGAGGTGGAGAGGAAATGAATGATGTTTTTACGTTTATTTGTATTTTTATACATCATTTTTACCTACAGAAAAAAATAAATTTCTCAATTCTTAATGGGCTATCTTTTACTTTCTTTTTTTTTTTTATTTGCCATGGTGAGGTGAGTTCTTTTTTGCTATAACTTGAAACCTATGCAAATTTACGTTATTTTCATTATCATATTTGTGATCAACCAGTTACAACAATTAACCAGTTTCAAAATTATATTTTTGATATTTTACTATCTATAAACTTTTGGAAGAAATAGTTCCAACAATTAAGCGTATAACTTTTGGAGGAACCTTACTACAAATCTATTATAAATCTCCAAAACTAAGTATTGATTTGGTACAACCAATGGAGAACATTAATAAATCATCTTACTAATATTTAAACTTATTAGGATGCTTTTATATTTTTTCTAGCATTTACTTCAAGACATATATTTGATCAATTTTGTTTATATTTAAAAAGTAACACTTATAAAATATTTTTAAAATCTTCAAACATTTCTAAAACGTACCGGGCCAAATACAATTTCTTTTTATGCCAAATACAAACATTTCTATGATCACACTTATAAAACATTTCTAAATTCTTCAAACATTTCTAAAATATATTGAGCCAAATACAAAATATTTTTTTTTTCAGATACAAGTATTTCTAAGATCTACAGATATATTGGGCCAGGGTTGCGCGACCAGACATCACTAGTATGTATATACCCGAGCCTGAGCGAATAAAAGAACCACATGTTGACTCAAGCTTTTTAACACACAAGTGTGCCAAATCTAGCCTGATAAAAAGAAGAAAATAAATCTCGACAGGCTATATAAATATGAGCCAACTCGTTTTTTTTTTTTTTTTTTTTTATGAAAGTTGAGTTTCATTCTATTGAATAATGATTATAGGTACAATCGCAGTGTTTTCTAAAATTCACTATACCTAGGATACTTGTTTGCTACAAATATTAATCAGTACAAAATAAGACCACCTCATAGAAAACCAAAATCTAATATGTTCAATTGAATTTGGGGCAAATATTTATCAGTGCACGCCATTGCCTGTTTTTGCAAGTATTCTTCATTTTAGTAATCTTGGACAGATTCATTTTTAAGGAGAAGGAGATACTGTGGATTACCTCGGTTCAGACACTTTCTTATGATGAAAAATAACATTATTTCTCACCTCCCAGATGTTGTAAATTGCAGCTGGCGGCACCCCTCTAATTATTCCATCACGTACAGAACTTGAGCCATATTTTTCCAACAGTTCATTTTTAAATGAGAACCAGTATAGTGACAAGACCTCTGCACCAACCAATATCATGGCTTTGGTGTCACGATCTATGTGGAGAAAAGGCATTCAAAGAAAATATGCTCCACACTTTCCTCCTCCATCATACATAAAGGACATCTACTATCAATTGATGGATCATGCTTGGAGATTTTAGCCCTTGTTTTCAACTTTTTCAGACAAGCTAACCAAGTGATAAAGTCATATTTTAGGACGATAAACTTACCCCAAAACACGATGTACTCTCGACTCCGTTGGTGCTAGTTGCTAAGGGTTTGATAGGCACCACTCACTGAGAAAGGTTGCCCCAGACCAATCCATTCATTGCTCTCTGAATTGACACTAATACATTGTCTTGCATATTGTCTCATTTTGAGCAATTTTTTCACTAGCCAAGAGGTTGATTGTTTCACTTCCAGATTCCAAAAAGAGTCTTCCTTGAAATAATATTCATGCAATCATTTCACCCATAAACTCTCTGCATTAAGGTATATGTCCCATATGAGTTTTAAGACCAATGCGATGTTTATCACATTTGAGTCTTTTATGCCCAGCCCTCCTGAATTTAAGGGCTTGCAAACATAAGATCATACAAGTGATGCTTTTTTGCTATCTGAGCTCCCTAACCACAAGAATGATCTACAGATCCCATCAATGGTTTTAGTCACCTTTTTAGGGAGGATAAAAATACGGCACCAAAAGTTGTGGAGGCTCTGAAGGACTGCTTTCACCAATATGAGGCGCCCTGCATATGATAAGAAGTGCGTGGTCCAGCTTCTAATCCTCTCCGTTACATTCTCAACCAGAGCTTAGCAATCTGTGATGGAGAGAGATTTAGAGTTTAGTGGCATACCAAGGTATTTCACTAGCAACTTACTCTCCTCAACCCCCAAAATGCTGCTAATTTCCTATCTCAAAGGAGCATCAGCTCCCCCAAAATAGAGGCAACTCTGTGACACGTTCTAAAAAAGACCAGACACAGCCGCAAAATGCTTGAGAACAGCATCGATCAGTTTGACTGAGTTCAAGTCCGCTTTGGCAAATATAAACAAGTTATTAGCATAGGCTAGATGGGTAAGCCTGATTCTATGACATTTGGGGTGGAATCGGAAGTCCTTGCTTGCATACATCTTTCGTAGTGCTCTCGATAGGTATTCCATAACAAGGGTGAATAGATGCGGCGACATGGGATCGCCCTGTAGAATATCTCTTTTTTCTGGAAAATAGTCAGTGAGTTCACCATTGACTAACACAAAAAAGTGGGCAGTAGTAACATGACATGACCCATTTAATAAATTTGAATGGGAAGCCAAAATGAATCAAAACCTCTTCCAAAAACTTCCAGGAAACCGAGTCATAAACCTTCTGTAGATCCACTTTCAAGGCCATTCTAGGACTAGCATTACTTCGCTCATAAAGGCGTACAAGTTCTTGGGCAAGTAGAATATTATGAATGATACTTCTACCTGGAATAAAGGCACCTTGTTCTTCTCCAACAATTTCACCTATAACCTTCTTCAGTCGAGCTGTAATGATGTTAGTTATGCATTTGTAAACCACATTACAGCACGAGATAGGTCTGAAGTCTTTTGCTGTATTCGGACAAGTGGTTTTTGGCACTAGAGTAATTACAGTTGCATTAATGCCTTGAGGGAGCTTACATGATGTGAAGAAATTCTTGACTGCATGCTTGAAGTCACCACTAATAATATTCCAGCAATGTTTGAAAGCTTTAGAAATCATCCCATCAGACCCTGGAGCTGATTCATTAGAGATATGAAAGAGAGCTTGTTTAACTTCTTCATCTTTCAAAGGCAAGCACAGGTCGGTACATTGTTGGGAGGAAACTAATTTACCCCCAGCAACTATACTAGGATCCAGAGGAGATGTAGCTTGGTCTGAACCCAAGAGATCTTGATAGAAACTTAGGATCTTGACTTGAATTTCTGAAGGATCAACTAGCTTGTTGCCATTTCTGTCCACCAAAGTGTTGATAGTGCCTAAAGCTCTTTTCTGTCGCAGGCAAGCAAGGAAATATACAGAATTTTGATCACCTTCCAGGCTCCAGTTAACCTTAGCTCTTTGTTTCAGGAAGAGTAACTCGTTCTTTATAAGCTTTTGCAGGTCAGCAGCTGCCTCTACTTCTTGTGACTTTAGGAGGGGATCAGAGGGATGCTGAAATAGATCATTTTGGATATCATGAAATCGGTTTCTGGTTTCATTGATTCTGTGAGACAGAGATCTTGTAATGCACCCGTACTTTTCTCTAAATTTTAGTTTAAGAGCCTTGATATTTCTCTGAAGCCCATATAGATCATTGGGAGCGGGGGTTTAACCGCCAAGTAGTAGCCATTGTATGGCTGAAATCATCTTCTTTAGTCCAAAAGTTACAAAATCTAAAAGGAGGGTGTACAACCTTTTGTGGCAGCAATTCAATAATATTCGGAGAGCGATCAAATACCCCTGGAGACAGAAAGGAAGCATGAGCCTGCATAGATGTCATTCAGCAACTATTTGCTAATATTCTGTAAAGTTTATAGAAAATTCTCGGTTTATTTTGGTGCTTATTAGACCAGGTGAAGAAATTCCCCGAGTGAGGCAAATCAGTAAAGTGGTGAAGAGTCATAAAGGATTGTAGTTCAATTGTATCACTAGCTGTAACAGTTCTGCCATTCAATCTTTCAGCAACAGAAGCTATGCAATTAAAGTCACCCATGATAATCCATTCAAAGACTATGGAAGATGATAAACTACTTAAATCTGCCCACAATAAAGACCTTTCATTCTTAGAATTTAAAGCATACACAAAAGTAATAAAGAATTGGTACCTCCCAGAGACAACATTGCAATAAACAAACTGATCACTCCTTTGAAGGATTTGGAGTTTCAATCTGTTACTATTCCACAAAATGAGAATTCTACCGTGTGATGATAAGTCAAAGTTATGTACAGAGTTCCATATAGGAATGTTGCAGCAACGGACGATAATAGAATTTATCTTATCTACATGCACTTTAGTTTCAAGTATAGCTAGTAGATCTAAAGAATTAGACCTGATAAATTCCTTGATTTCAAACTGTTTTGAGGGTCATTGAGACCCCTAATATTCCAGCTTGCAATTTTCATAAAATAATACTAAAGAGAGGATTAGGAAGGTGTGTTACCTCCCTTCGGCTTTATTTTCCTCTGGCTTCTGGGTGCCTTTGTAGTCGGGGCTGGATTCTTTGCTTCTTGAATTAGTGGATTGAATGGATTCTGCTCTAATTGGCTAATTTCTTCCTCTTCATCAGGACCTGACTATTTCCGGAATTGGGAGGAGCAACAATCTTCATAACTTGAGTTTCTAGGACTTGATGATTACTCTGTGAGCTACCCTAGGGCTCAACAGTCAATTTGCCTATTAGAATCTTTGCTGGAATGGCTTTATCGTTCTTCAACATAGCTCGATTCTCTGTCTCTTTAGCCATCATACTTGCTGCAACTTTAGGCAACTTTGAGGAAGAATCATCAACCTGAGTACCCTCTACTAAGTTTATCTCATTTCCATCAAGGGACTTGTCATTTTCTGGTGGGGAGACATCTTCCGACTGTTTAGTCATCCATTTTGGTTTCGGCTTTTTGCATTTCTCCGTCGAATGACCAAAGCATTCACAGTAAGTACACCTGGAAGGAACCTGTTCATACTCAATTTTTTGTGAAATTGAAATACCTCTCGGGCCTTTCAAAGTTATTTCATCTGGTAATTTAGAAAGGGGATTAATTTCAACACAGAAACGGGCATAACTAAAACGACCCTTAGCAGCTATGATTCCATCGGTGCAAATAGGCTTGCCAATAACACTAGCGATTTTGCTCAAAACCGGTTGGGACCAAAGATGAAGTTTCAATAGAGGCAGCTGGACCCAAATTGGAAAACTTGAAATTTTTTTTGGGTCGATATCCATTTCTGGTGTCCAAGGCTGGAGAATCAATGGAAAGGTGAAGTAGCTCCAAGGGCCAGATTCTATCTCATCCAATTTTTCTTTAGTACTGAATTTGAAAAGGAAAATACCCTTCTCTATCAAGTAAGCAGAAACTATATCTTCATTACCCCAATTAAGCTTTACATACTTTTGAATTTTCTCGAGTGATGGCTTGTCACCGTACAAAAAACCAACTAAACAGTGCTCCCACTCTTGTATACCTGAATTCCATTCTTCATCATCTATCTCCACTTCCTTAGACGAGTATTGCTGTGGAAGAAATTTCATATCCAATCCCGCCGTGTTAGGATTTGAGGAGTATCAAGATTGGTCTTATTCTGGTTCGTGGGATTAGGATTTGAGGGTTGTGGATCAGGAGGGGCCATGGGGGCCAAGGTGGAAGGTGGCGGAGAGAAGAATTGATCGAAGCTGGAGAAGGGGAGGCGCAATATATCCCTTTGCTATCGTGCGCCTAGTGCATCTCTCACTTATTTCTCTCTCTAGGACCAAAAAAGTCTTTTTAACTCGTTGACTTAGCTTTGTTTGTTAAGTTTTTTTATGATAATAATAACTGTCACATCTCAACATAACTTTTTATATTTCCAATACAATTTTTTACATTTTTAATACAAAAAACACCTAAAAAACACACATTAAAAAAATAAAACAAACATGAATAGAACTTTTTAACAATTTTTCAAACCTCCTTAACAAGTACGCCAACTCACCTATGATACCTACAGGTCCTGATAAAAAAAAATAATAATAAAAAATAAAAAAATTCCAAACTTCCAAAATCAACCATTGAAAACCATCATCTAACCGACTAAACAAAACACGCCTCACTGGTCTAATAAGAACTGATTTGAAAGCTTACTTACCTAAACTTCCCTAATGGATGAAACTAAAGGATAATAAATTTCGTCACCAGTATCGACTACATTGTGTGTCTACAAAGGACACATCTGGCAATAAGTTAAAACTAGTCCAGAAAAGAAATTCATCAGGGCCTAATCCCGCAGGAAGGATGACACTAGATAGCTATCACCACACATCAACCTGCCCTACGACGTTTCTTGGAGCCGCCACCTTCAAATTCTTGCAACTTTTCCGACGATCTTACTTTTGCCCCATCTGGAGTTTTTTGCACATCAGCAGATGACTTCTCTTTGAATTTTTCCTTCGATTCTCCTGCTGCTTCTTTAGTCTTGGAGGAGCTATGTTTTACCTTTCCCAACCCATTTGCATTACCATCATCTGCAGCTTGTGGAGTCTTACTTTTCGACTTCACACCAGTCTTTGAGGTGGCTTCTTGTTTGCTGGACTTGCTACCAATTTTCGATATTTCTTGCTTGGACTTGCTACCAGTCCTGGGACTATCTTGTTGCTTAGATTTGCCTTTGGACATGACCCTGCTATCAGCATCTTTAGATCTTTTTGAGGAATTATCCACATGTTTATCACTAGCTCGTTGGGAAAGAGATTTGGAACCACCAATATTGTCATCAGTTTTGCCGTCGGATTTTCGGGGTCTGTCTTTTGACTTCGTTCCTTGCAATTTACTAAAACAAACAGACAGGTTAGGATTTACTTCGTATAAAAAGCTGACACAAGAAAATGCTTTTGCTACATTTGAAGACAGATTTTACGACAAACATTTTTGGGGCAAAAGAGCAAAAAATTGATGGACACAATTGCCTCTAGATAATGTGAATCAAGAAATTGGAGGGAACTTGAACGTCGTTACAAACTAATTTTCATTTTGGTTGGTTGTTATAAAATTCTTCAAAAAATTTCTCTCCCAAAATAGAGCCCTTTTTCTCATGGTTGTTAAAAATTATATTCCCTCCGTCCCAAAATGATTGTCCAGTTTGAATTTCCATTCTTAGTACACAAATTGTGCCGAAAGTGAAAACCGAACATGATTCAATCATTTTGGGACAAAGGGAGTTGAACATAACATGAACTAACCTTTTAGGAGAAGCTTCCGCCTTCCCACGTTTAACCGATACTTCTGGATCTGTTTTAGCTCTCTCTCGTTTTGGCCTGTGAAAAAATAAGCAGATCATCAACCAATATGTAAGCACATACCGTTTTGAAATACAGAATCACAAACTTGAAATACACAATCACAAACTAAGGGAACTAAAAAATAAAATAAGAAATTAAAGAATAGGGAGCTTCTATTACGCAACCTCCCCAACCCCACCAAAAACAAGACGACAAATTTTGCCCATAAAAGGTTCCACAAACAGAAAATAAAACCCGAAATAAGGAGCTACAAACAAATAAAAGTAACACAAGCCCAATAGCTATTAACTGAAAAGCAAATCAATCCATCTATAAGCACATAAGAATTCTGTTTACAGTTTGGCAATAAAATATGTTGGTAAAATGCTTGGAGTTGAATAATTATGGTAAAGATCACCATATGTACAGAAAGATCCCAAAGATACTAAAGTAATCACCCAACTAATGCTTCAAAAACTGACATAGATGCCTATGGCAACACCCGTATCATAATCTATAGCCATAAACTCCAGTGCTCAATCAAGAAATAACCATTTTACACACATGTAAAGAAATCCAAAAAACTTCTTATCATTGGCACAGCATCAAAGCTTCTATTATCCTACATGTTTTTTTTAAAAAAGGACGTTGTCTGAGAGTTTCAAGAAGATGGAAAGATGCATACAAGGGAGATGCAGCTTCAACACTGGCTGTTTCCTCAGAGGCATGCCCCTGTAACAAGAAGATGTCATCCTTTAAAATCGGGTATCAAACTTTGGCCATAAAGCATACTCAAGATTAGCCATAAAGCACATTCAAGATGATGATGGGCCAAAACTCACTCACCTCAGATGAAACTGAATCATCATTAATTATTTCCCACCGTTCTCTTTTGAGATTCAAGGTTTCCACATCACCATCATTATACACCACCTGATCAAAAGATAGAACCAATTCAAGTTGATGTCAGCAAAGAAACTAGACAGGAGAGTTTCCAAACCCAAAACCAGGCAGCTTCTTCACCAACCTTATGCTTTTTCTTGGCACTGTCAAAAGATTCAATCACACCATCGTAGTACCTAAAAAGAAACATGACATCAGTATCAGTGGAGTCCAGATTCAATCTAGAACTAGTGTTAAGAGATGTTGACGCAAACATGCAAGTGATGACTAAGCTTTCATAATGACCAAAGAGAAAACAAAACAAGGGATTCAACAACATGGCACAACTTGAAAGGGAAGGTAGGGGGCACCAGCCCACGACAATGAGGTCACCCTCCTCAAGGCCCAAGACAACGTAGGTCTCCTTACCCTAAAAACCAACTGATTGATTTTAAATAATTTTAAAGAGGAAAGCAACTTACGCACGATCTTGTGGCCACCAGACTTTGACCTTCGAACCAACTAAACTGTCATCGTATGTGACATTCCCAGTTACCTAACATGTAAGAATAGCAGGAATTATAGGTTAATAAATACATCTCTTGAAATATTTACTCCTACGCATAAAGTAAAGGAAGAATATAGATTAACATAATGGGAACAGAAAAAAAAAGGCAGGAAAGAAACAATTTTTTTTTTAATGGAAAAAAAGGAAGCAAGCCTAAAACTTCTGCACAATATAGTGTAGTGCTAAATTCCATGCAAAGAATCAACATCCACATCGGGCAGCCTACAGAGGCAGCCACTATGAAGTAAAGGCTGAAACAAGTAAAGATAGACACAATATAACAAAGGACAAGGAGAAGCATCCAGTTCCAGGTCACACAGAAAATCAGGATAAAGTATACACCTTCTGTTGGCTGGCAGCTGGCTTTCTCTTGGAAGGCGTCCTGGCATTTTCTTCAGTTTTAGGAACTTTAGAAGATGTCTTTGTTGACTGTGTTTTCTGCAAACAAGAAAACCATGTGAAACTGGATGTAAGATACAGGCAACCAAATTTAGTACATATCCCAAGAGATAAATTACTTTCGAATTAGCTTCACTCTCCAAGATAGCTTTCTGACGGATTTTGCTTTCAATTTTCCTCTTCAATGAGTGATCCATGGGATCACTACTTTCATCCACTTTTTTGCCCAGCTGCTTTGACTGTTTTTTCTCTGAACCACTTTCCCCTCCGCTTTCATTTTGAGACGTATCCTCATCAGCTTTCTTAGAAGTTTGCAAAGGTTGTTTTTTCTTTGAGCGCCTGTGTTGCTTAGCTTCTGAGTCGCGTGTTCCTTCAGACACCACACCCAATGAAGGTGTGTCTTCCTGATGTGAGTTAACTTTGTTCACATGTTGCTCAGCATTTTTGGGATGATTCTCATCGTGTAGACTCCCACTTTGAGAAGGGGAAGAAGTGTTCGCAACGTCAGTCTCAGATCCTTTTGGTGAAGAAATGTTCTTTACAGTGTCTGTATAAGAGGATTTGGAAGGGTGAAGAGCATCATCCTCCCTTGAAGAATCATGTAGATCTTTCTCAGGATTTTCTTGAGGATCAGACTGATTCTTGACTTCTTTCGCGCCATCAACATGAGATGTATCAGAGGATTCCGATGCATTCATTGAGGAGATAGGCTTGTCCACGACTTCAGATTCAAATTTAAGTGGCTTCCGAGGTTCTGATTCGCCATCTTCAGATTTCGAAGCTGACTTGTCAGCAGATGGTTCATTATCAAGATCCTGCTCTTCAACGTTTACTGAAGAGACTACTTTCAAGCTTTTCCCTCGGTTTTCATTCTCATTGTCATTACCACCATTCGTTGAGTTAGGAGGTCTGGGGTCCTTATGATCAGCATTCATAGCACCAGTAATGGTTTTTACCACCTGTCAGAAAAGGATCATATCAGAGTCTTGAGAAGCAGCCAATGAAATTTCACAACATCCAAACTAGTGCAAATAAACCGTTTGGGGGAGAGTACATGACTTGTCCCCTGTGGACTTGAAATCCGAAATTGAAGAGAAAGCTAATAAGCAAGGCACATGCAACATTGTGTATGCCTATACAGTTCCAAATAGATTTCCATGCAGTAGAAACAGATCAATATATAATCAAACATAGTAAATCTTATAGCAGCAGTCGAAATGATGCCAGTAACATACAGATTGATCAGTAGATGTGTTTTCATTCATTTGCTCAACAGTTGAAGAAGGCCCTTCACAAACAGCAGTAACAACTTCACTATAATCATCCAAAGAAGTGCCCAAAGATTTTATGGCCCCGCTAAGGTAAGGCTTAAGCTTGGATGAACATTTTTCAAAAACTTTCTCCGCCAATTTCACAGCAACTGGGTGGACTTCCTGAGCAAAGAAAGAAGAAAACTAATCAGCAAATGACAACGGAATAAGCAAGGTCAGCAAATGTCATTTAAAAAGCAAGTAAAAAAGAGAAAGCCATTAAGAATCTGAACAGAACCTGATTGTCTTTTTTCATGCAAGCTAACAGCGGGTTGAGGACCTCGGAGGAAATATCTTCACTTTCATCTAATACAAGAGTCATTATTGTCTCCATTGAAGTAAAGATATTTTCCTTGTGAAAATCCCTGGAAATTTTAAACCCATAATTAAATGCAAGCAGAAGGACACTACATATAGGAAAAAGTGCAAAACAAGACTCTGAACAATAACTACACAACATTCCCAAGGCAAACGAGTTTATCTGGTATACCATGCACATACCATAATAGCCAGATCCATCCGGTGTATCATAATTGGTATAAACACCTTCTAGTGATATCCAAACTTAATAAATTTCCTTAAGAGGTCAGGTGAGTTTTCAGACAGCATCAGCAATCATCAATATGAAAGGTTCTCTGAAAATATTAATGACCAAATTGCTTATTTAATCCCTAAATCACATTTCCTCTCAAAATTTCAATTAGTCTCGATAACAGCTTTAATCCCAGGAAACATCCCTCTTTTCGTACCAGGAAAGCTAAATCACATCCAATGTCTCACATGTCATTAACCTACATGGGTCCATCTGGGAAGCATAGTATTAATTACCTAGGAAGTACATCTATCCAACTAGTGGGGAAAATGTTAATATGCATTTTAAGAATAGTTAAAAATGTCTGTGGAAAAGATACCCTTGATTAATTGACACCTTCACAGCTTTAAGTTATGCATATGAAAACATGCAGCCAATGAGAAAAGGCACAGCTTTCACTTCTATAGTTATAGAAAGTTTCTCATATTCGTAAACCACAAACCAGTAACACCAAATTTGGTAAATACATCATGGCAGCCTTCAAATGAAACCATAAAGCAATAGTTATGTGCATTCATAGAGGAATTGAAATGTTAAAATGAAAACGAAAAAGATAACTACAGTTGGAAGAAGAATTCTACCGTATGTTTCCGAGGAAAAGAGTGAACATTTCGGCGATCAGCGCCTCACATTCTAAATCCAACATGACAACACAAGATCTAACTTTGGCCACGGTTTCAAGTATCATCACCCTCTTTCCATGAGATCGGCTAGACTCATCAGACAAATCCTCAAATGAAGATACAATGAGTTGAAAAACGTCCTACATTCCAGTAAAGGAAATAAATCATAAACTGGTAAACGGAAAAAAGGAAAGCAACAAAAAAGAAATTCAGAATTCAGATACCTTCATTTGGTCATCTTCATAAGGAGCTTCGGGTGCAGTTATTCTCGTAATCTCACTAATGCATGAAGCAACTGCAACTTTCACATCGACATTTGCATTCCTAAGAAGTTCATCTGAAACCAATGTGCTAGTTAGTGGAGCTAGTGCCACTTGCATGGATTTGGCAGGTGATTGCTCCACTCTTGACAGGTGCTTCTCAACTTCCTAATAGTGCCAACAAAATACATCAAGAGTTTTTATTTTATTCTTCAATAACTGAATACATCAATTAAGTAAAGAAACGAAATATCTTCAAATATGGAACGCAATAGAACTCCCTACTGGCAATATAAATGTAAAGCCAATAGTTTAATGCATCAAAAAGACAGCCAAACAACAACAGTGTGGGAAATTCAGTGCCACGAAAGCACTTAATATACTCACCTTCACAATTAATGTGGCTTTCTAAATATGGTTCCAGATCTAAGCAAAAACTAAAGGAAATCTATCAATCAGTTTAATGAGACTAGTGAAATTTTATAGCATTCATCAATATCAACTAAGTAATCACCAAAGTCCTCTCAGTAAAACAATAAAGAAAATTCAGGAGAAAGTTATCATTAGACTACTCGGCATTACCACATGATGACCATGAATAAACATAGATCTAAATTGTCAAACATGCACTGATACACAGAATAATGCATGCAACTACTCAACAAAAGCGCAGCTAAAAAAAATCTAATCGCAGATGACATGGTCAGCAAAAGAAAAGCATGATTTTGCAAGACAAGACTGAAAACCTAAGTGGGCATTACAAATAAATTGTTTTACTTTCCCTCAAAAGGCCTCTATTCGGCAAAACAATTATAGTAGTACTGCAGCATTAGCATTAAAGTGGAAGCAAAAAACACCGATAAAAAACAAAACAGATAATGCAGCACAAACTCGTAAACGATCTTTAAGTATTGATGGATTATGTACACGGACTCTTCTACAGAATAAATTTTCATATCCAAATATAGACAATCAGATTAAAGTGCCATAAAACACACACTCTGAGGAAACCAAAAACATATGTGATGTTCTAAGTCCATTAAGCTGCCATCCAAAAATTTCCTTCACAATATATCAAGAGTAATAATTCACAAAGCACCGTATCAATCTAAACTAAATATTAGTCAACAATGTACACATGGGTACTTATATATGATTCCGCATTTTGCCACCTTGAATCTTCATTCGTACTTCACGCAACATTTAGTTTTTCAGCTAGCAGAAGCAACTGTGCCAACTCCACAAAACTATATTATCATGGAGACGAACAGATTATCCAAACTTACCTACTGAGCCAATAAGCTCTGTTATAGAGATGTGGAAGGGCATGATTCAATCAGTATACTCAGATAACAAGTGAGCATAACCAGTAACAAAACTAAAAGAAGACATATATCTCACTGTACATCCCGGTCCATTATAGAATTAAAATGGCAGGTAAACCCCATTTTTTGTCCCCTACAGATTAGGTCATCAAATTAACTTTGGTGGCAGGCAATAACAACTATTCATTGCGAAACCCACAGAGAACTCCAGGCGTCTCCAACCCGAACCATTCATAGCAAAGTTCAAGGGTGAGGCAAGACCCATTATCTAACAATGTATTTCTTCACAGGTTAAGAGGATAAGGAGGGGATAAAGGAAACCTAAAATGCACTGATTATACACGCAGCTATCTGTAGCACGCTCAACAAACTGTGACCCATATAAAAATAACATTGTCCTTAAAAATTCATAAACTTATTTTTGTTTCCTTCCAAAGCCCAACGATAACTTGTTAGCAGAGAAACCTAACGAGATAAGTGTGTCATTAAATGATATATACAAACAAACACCCACAACATATGCATAACAACAAATTTGACCACAGGCATATAAGGCGAATAAAAATTCCTGCTGTTCTACATGGCAAATTATTTAGTTCATACAGATCATCATTATGAGGAAACTAATTTAAACAAAGAGACGAAACAAAACCAATGAATAGAGAAAAGAAACGTTGAAGGGGATGGAAAATTTGAACAAACCAACAGCAAGAGTAATAAATAAATGATTGAAAGAGGAAAAGATAAGATATGGAGAAAGAAAGTGGAGAAGGGGCTCACGTCTAGCAAAGGGAGAAGGTCGTCGACGGAAGAAGAAGAAGATTTGAGAAGCTTCGTGCCAGCATCCTTGAGCTGTTCCTCGAGTTCTCTTTCTTCGGGTGACACCGACATCTTGTCAGTCATATCTCAGTTCAGTTCTTCCACCAGCAGATCTTTTTCAAAATTTACAAATTCTGAGATTCTTAATTCAACCCAAAACCATTGGAGGTGTACAAAACCCTAGGTGGGGGAAGACGACGAAGAAACAAAAACGAAATAAAGGAGCAGGAAAATTAGGGTTACTGGGAACAAGCAAAACCCTAAAATCAAAACGAAAAGAGAAGGAAAAGAAAAAAAGACAGAACCAGAGAAAGCGGATCTCTCTTCAATTCGCTTTCACAGGGCAAAGAAGAACACAACCCCAGCTTATCTTCGTCTTCTATCTCTCTCTAATTCCTGAAATTTGAAATCCCCAGTTTTTGTTTTGTTTTTCTTTTTTCTTTTCCGAACGACTAAAAAAAATTATATATTTGGCTTCTGCTTTTCTATATATAGGGAGGGATAAACAGAAGCCAACCTTTTTTTGTTTTCTCAACGAGTCACACTTACGTACGTCGCGGTCCCTTTTATTATTATTATTACTAATACTACTAGATGGTACCCGCATGATGTGCGGGATAGATAAATTATGTATAAATCAAACATAATAAAAATCAAAGAAATATTTTATATTTTAGTAAATTGATATATAATATAAAAACACTAAGTTAAATAATGTTACATTAAAAGTAATTTTTATGCGCTACTTATTTATAGAAGAAAATAAATAGATCCATATATTAATCTATGTGTTAAATATATTTTATTTTCGAGAATCATCAACATATATTTCGCCATGTTGTCCCAAAGAAAACATCAAATATTGAAATTATTAATTAAGATTGGCAAAGAAACTCACCGTGATGTGCATTCGAAAAATCCTTGCTGCAGAAAATATTTGCCCATAATTTCCAAAAGTTAGAAGCGAAAAACTTTTGACACAAAAAAATAATGATTATTAAAAAGAAAAACATAAATCCTAAAAAAATGAGAGAAGAAAAAGAAGAAAAGATTCCGGTATAAACTGGGATTGCAACCTAGTTGAGTTTTATAAGCACACTTTATGTATACATAATAATTTTATTCACATGATTAATGCGATTGGAGTGATTATAGGCATACGTTTATATTTGATTTTGTTAAAATAAAGTAAATGGATATTCGTGTATGCAATTACGACTGATGATATATCTCTAAAAAATATTATCTACAATTTTTTTAATTATTTCAAATTTCAAAATAATATTAATATTGTTTAATGATCAAACCAATATGTAATGGTATTATTCAATCCAGTCGGAAAATTATTTCAAATCAATCAGTTTTAATGTTGAATTAAAGAATCACTGATTATTTTGTAGTTATTATTTTTGAATTTCAAAAAAGCATTAATACTGTTTAATGAACAAACCAATATTAATGGCATTTTCAAGCCAATCAGAAATTTTTTTCAAATCAATCAGCTTTAATGTTGAATTAAAGAATCATTGATGATTTTGTATTTATTATTTTTGAATTTTAAATAATCATTAATATTGTTTAATGATTATCAAGACGTAATATTATTATTCAAGCCAATCGGATAATCTTTTTCAAATCAATCTTATTTAATGTTGAGATTTTAAAAATTTTTCGTTTTCTTTTTCATTTTAGGGAATGTAAAATAGAAAGTTTACCACACAATTAATTGATATACTTTAATTAAGAATTGATAATAATTTATTAACTGGAAATTTAAAGGACCGTTAGCGTAATTATTGTAAATATTTTTTGTGACAACCTATAAGGAAATGACACATAGGATTTTGTCCTATGTGTCAAAGGGGAGAGAAGTTTGATTTCCTCTCTCTGGTTTCTCTCTTAGTATAATACTATAGATTCCTGTGCGTTGCACGAGTTTTTAAAATATCTTTATCATTTTCAAATTATTAATTAACAATGATTTATAATCGCGTGATTTGTTATTCACAATTTATTTTTGTTATAAAAGGGATAAGATCGTAATTATAAGACTCGGAAAACTTGTTACGGTAAACGTGTTCTCCCGATTTCAAGCATATGTTTGTCATGCGGGCGTGAGGATTTGCTTGTGATGGTTTACTGTTTTTTACTGTGATCTTTTTTTAATTAAAAATTTAATGACTTGTAATATTAATTAGTGCCATGAGAAAATTTTTTTATCCTTAATAATGAAAAAGAGGGAAATGAAAAAAAAAAAGGAAAAGAAGAGATAATCATAACAAGTAGAGTAAACTACAATATGATTTTTTTATATTTGTCAAAAAACTTAATTTGGTCACTGAATTGGTCAATTACATTTGTCTTTTACACTAATTTAAACTTTTTTATTTTTTTTTACACTTTACATTTAGTGATTCTTGGGTTGATCCATTATTGATCAAGTCATCCAGGACATTTTCAGTAATATCTAATTTAGAAAAAATAATATTAAAAATTGATTAAAATAATATAAAATATATTATATTAATTTATAATTAATTTAAAAAAATTAAAATCTAAAAATTCACATTTTTTTTCAAAATCGAGTTTTTTTTAATCCCATAGTGACAAGCCGTCGTCACACTAGTCAAATAATTAATTACCTACTTAATACAATTACTAGCAGTAAAGCAGAAAGCAGGGTCGATCCCACAGAGAAGGTTACCAAGTACCAGTTAAATTATTTCTTATTATTATTTAGATTAATAATTCATCAATTTAAATTAATCTAAACCTAAAACTATCAATTACAATTAATTTAAGATTTTACACAAATAAAAGAAAACCTAGGGTAAAGGGTTCACCTACCGACTATTCAGTTTAACTCAACCTATAGATATGTGACTTTGGACTTTTATTAATCTCACAACGATTCACCTATTTAATAACTATTCACTATCGTGATATAATTCTCTTACTCAAACTAATCCTATGACTACTGTCGTGACTATAGGATTTAATTAGAGTACACTAAGAACCCTAGAATCTATAGTTGCAAAGACGGTGTTCCTACTTTCGTGGCTCACTATCTAAGTTTAATATTCCCACGAACTAGTGCTAACCTTCAACCGTCGTTCCTTCAGTTAAACACCTTTAAAGCATGCAAGTGGTGATCAAATACTCACATGGAATAAAAACAAGAATATTAAATAGCAACTAATGAAAAAGTCACAATCATGAATTTAATCAAATTAAATAGTACGGCGGCTACATCCAAAACCCTAGATTAAATTATTTAGCTACACATCATCTCAAAAATAAATAAAACAATGAAACTCGGGAGAAAGTCAGCCGAAAGTTGAGTATGAGGTTGATGCGTTGCCGCTTCTCTTGGCGATGATGGTGCATAGGTGATGATGCTGCGGTCTTGCGTGGGTTAATTATGGTGGCGTGGTGGTAGGGAGGTGTGATGGATGATGGAGACCATGTGGTGATGAGGTGCGTGGAGGTGTGGGAATGTGATTTTGTTTTTTGTGAGAGTTAGGCGTGGGTTTTATGAGTGAGAGCTGGTGGTGAAGGTGGAGAGGAGTTTGTGCAGGGGAGGTTTGATGCGTGGGAATGGAGGAGAGGAATAAGGTGATTGTTGTGTGAGGTTTGGGGCTGCGTGAAGAGAGGGTTTTTGGTGAGTTTTTCGGTCAAGTTCTCTTTCAAAAATAAAATCTTAATCCTCCTTTTATAGGCTTTTGTCAAACCCTATTTCTTCAGGAATAAGAAACTTATTTTTTTTCAAGCCAATTTAAATTAAAACTCCTCCAACTCTTCAAGTGCTTTAATTTCTTCCTTGTCAATTTATCAAATCTTCAATTCTCCCTTTGAGTTGCTTTTTCTTTTCAATTTAGTCCAAAATCTCAACAATTCTTCCATTTGAGTACAAAACCTACAAATAAAAATAAAATCATATAAATAGCATATTTGTACTCAAAATATGTTGCAAAAAAATCACAAATTAGGGATATAATAAATAGGTAAAATATAAGCATATCACATGGTTCCCACATCCAGTATCTTATTATTGACCTTATTCTTTAACTTTTTCCTCCATTCCCCTTGTTGGACACTTTCTCTTTCCCAAATCCCGTCCTAGATGCGGATTAAAAAAGTTAAAAAATAAGGTTTATAATAAGAACCTGGATGTGGTGGGGTGTTAATCTTCGACACGAGACAAAAACACGAAGTCTAACACGTAATAAGTGAGTTTAAGATTGAGTTTTGACGGGTTTGGGTGGAAATCAGATCGAACCTGCGAACACGTTTAATGAAACATGCAGAATTCATGTTAACCTGCCAGGACCCGTATTCATCCGTTTAACCCGAAATTCAAAATAAGTAATTTAAGAACTTATTAGGTAAGTATTAAAAACATACTATCTAAAGTCTAAACCCTATATATACTCATATTATCTAGAATATTTATTTTTTAGTTAGTTCTAAGTATACTATCATGCTTATGATGTGTTATTTAGTTAGTTATTTCCTATTAAATTCACAAGAATTAAAAAAAAAAAATCGCATACTTAATGTTTGTAGACATCTACTTATTGTTTAAGTTATAAGTACTTAAAATTTAACTTTTTAAAACAATGTCTTAGTTTTTTTAAAAAAATGTATTTTGTTAATTGCACATATATTAAATTATTTTCGGGCATTTCATGTTGTGTCGAGCCATCCGTATTATTATCAAATCGTGTTCAAGTTCAAAAAATTGACTCGTATAGTTAAACAGGTTGCGTACAAGTTAGTAAATATATATTCGGGTTTGCGTCGGATCCGACCCGCAAACCTGAAACCCAACTCGATTGACACCCTACTGTAGAGCCCACCACATAAAAAAAATCAGATTTTGGATTTTTTTTTTTTGAATTTTGAAATTTTGAAATTTTTGTTTTTCTGATTGATTATAAATCAATATACTATAATTAATATTATTTAAATCAATTTTTGTTTTCTTATATTTTGGAAATTAAACATTACCAAAAATATCCCTTTTGACTTGATCAATAAATGGTCAACCCAAAAACCACCAAATGTAAAATATCAAAAAAGTAAAAAGTACTAAATTAGTCTAAAAGACAATGTAACAGACTATTTTAGTGAAATTTTTAATGTAAAGAACTAAATTAAATTTTCTAGTAAATAGAAAGGACCATTTGATCAGTTTAATCTGGTATTGTAAATATGATATTCTAAAAATATTAACTCTCAATCTAACAGAAGTGCTATCAATATATCAGTTCCTAGAATACTTGGATTTATTTACAATTATATTCACAAAACAGTTATTAATTATCTAATTAGTTAATGATTGGTTATTTTGTAAATATATTCCTTATTTAATTTCATGATAAGAGTATGATTGATTCATCTTGTCACATTTTGGTACTGCATTAGTTTTGAAATTTATTGATTGTGCAGATAAATTCATTATATATATATATTAGTAATTATGATGATTTAGTTTGGACATATTTATGATCCTCGTGCAATAAAAGTATGCAATGAAGAATAT